CTGTCACCTGCTTCCGGGGGAAAAAAAAACCCCAGCCCACCAAGCCTATTGTCGTCAAAACCGCGCCCAAGGCCCCGGAGATGGACGAAACCAAGATGGCTGACGATCCTGCGGTCGAAGTTCCGACCGGGACAGCTTGTCGGCGCAGGTCTTGCGGGCACCGGCTGGCCTCGGCCGCTTGTCGCGACCTCCCCTGCACCTTCCACCCCGGGACGCCGGTCTTTCACGAGGGGTCCAAGGGGTGGTCCTGCTGCAGCCGCAAGGTGCTGGACTTCAATGACTTCCTGGCCATTGCCGGCTGCCGTACCGTCACCGGTCACCGGTTCCTGGAGCATCCGCTCGAGCGGGCCGCCGCCAACGGCGGCACCCCTGCCGATGCTGCCCAGACCGTGACCGATGCCGCCGGCAACGAGTATACCCCGGTCGATGTGCGCAATGATTGGTACCAGACCCAGACTTCGGTCATTGTGTCCTTCTTCGCCAAGAACGTCATCAAGAGCGAGTGCTCGGTGGAGTTTGGCGAAGAGGAGGTATGTGTTCGGCGTTCCCCCCCCCTCTCTCTCTCTCTCTCCGCCCTCCCCCTTCTTCTCTTCTCGTGGTAGCCAGTGATCCCCTTCTGACGGTCTTCTGCCTTTTCCCCTTCGGGCTCTCGGCCTCGCCATTCGCCTCGCTCTTTCGCCTAGATTCGCCTCTTCCTCGTGATGCCCGATCGCAAGGCCTTCAAGGCGACCATCCCCCTGTTCCAGCCGATCGACCCGGCCGCCAGCAAGTTTTTCCTCGGGTCAGTGAAGGTGGAGCTTACCCTGGCCAAGGCCAACGGCGTGTCCTGGGTGTCGCTGCAGCCGATGTCCACTCCGATCCGGGCATTTACCACCTTCGGCACGACTGGCCGCGTGGGCACCGTCGGAGGCAAGGTCATTGATGCTGTGCATGATGCGGCCATTCTGTACACCACTACCGAGTAGAGCTCAGGTAGGTGCAAAGGGAACAAGGCGCGGGAGCGTGCCCGTGCGTATTGCCTTGCGCCTTTTTTTTCCTCCCCCCCGCCAATTGCGGTCCCCCCCCCCCCCCTCCTCTCCCTCCCCCGCCAAGATGAAGGCGACCAGAGAAAAGCGAACGCAATAGACACGGGCGCTCCCTTTCCGGATCACCGAATCCTCCCCCGCAGGTGTGTGTGCCCCGCGCGGTGGGCGCTGACGTCCAGGGCCCGCGTGATGTCTCCGCGCCCTCGTGGCCACACATAACATCACGCGATCCCCGGGACAACCCCACCGACCCGACGCCCAATCCAGTTGGGACTTCCACTTCGGCGGTGCCAGTGAGCCGCGAGCAGTTGAGCCCCGATCTGGCTGGTTTTGCCAACCCCCCACGTGGTGGGGGTCGGTCGAGGCGCCGCCCTGGGCTCGGCTGAGGGGCGTACGTGCGGGGAGCTTCGCCAATGTCTTTGGGTCCGGCGAGCGGGGTTATCCGGCGCCTGAGTCATTTTCCGAGGGCGGGCTGGGCAGTGGCCGGGGGAAGGGGCAGGTAGTCTTCAGATGGGCGGAGGGGGAGGCGGGGG